GAGCTGTGGTGCTATGGACGTTCATGACAGAACCGCACGCGCAGGAGTCGACCAGGACACCTGTTGAGTAGATCATGAATTTCGCAGAGAGCATCGAGCAGGGATCTTTGTACTTCGGATGTGTGTTTTCTAGCAAGCATGGCTGGATGATCAGTAAGAATGGCCAACGGTTTCCAGGACCAATGCGAGCAGCGTTCACGACGGCCGCATGTCATCTTCAGCTTGTGGGCTGCATCGGCATTCGAGTGGGGCATGGCGTCAAATGCATTGAGGCTGTGCCCGGCACCGAAGGTGCAGTGATCATGTGGTGGCATGTTGGGCGCAGAGAAGACTGGTCATGGATTCAGATTCCAGGCAGCCAACGAGTTTCGACACAGTATCTATTCGGCGATGGTTGGCTCAACGCACCATTTATGCAGTTTGCGTTGGTCACTGATGAAGAAGCCAGACAAGCACGACGACAAACTCCTGGAGTATCACACGTTGGAGGTATGGATGACACTTTTGATCACAATGAGGGATACATCAACCACAGGTGGAATGGAATCAAGAGATCACGATCAATTGATTCAGATGACAGTGGTAACCCAGCACCTCATCTTGCTCGACGTCTCGACGATGAGGCACCTACCTTGAAAAGACAGCTATCACTACGACCAGATGGAAGCGGCAATCCTGGACCCCATGTATCTCAGAAACTGGATGACGAAACACCGGAAGAACAATGTGAATACATGGAGAGTGAGAATGATTTCTGGCATGGATTGAGTGAACTAACACGAGGGCCAGACATTATCTCTTCTGACAACATGTTCGAGACGACCAGCGTCAACGAGGATGCGATTCTTGGAGAACCGCTGGAGCTGGCTACGAGTGCGGATGCCGCGTTTCAATGTTGTGGCGATGAAGCTCTTGAAGGATATGTTGTTGTTCACCGATATGATGCAGCTGGGTGTTATGTTGAGGCAGTCATCGAACGAGAGATGAACATCCTTACGAAGGACGAGCTCAAGAAGTACGCACGGGACGTCGCTGAGGCATGTGTGCTGGAGTTGCGACGGTGGTGCAGCATGGGCATGTTCTCAAGGATGCCACGACGACGTGCGACGAACCTGGTGGACAGCCGATGGGTTCTCAAATGGAAGCTCATTGGCGGCGCACGAAAGATCAAGGCAAGACTCACGGTGCGTGGGTTTAAAGACAGACAAGCAGAGTCTCTGACCACTTTCGCAGGCACGGCATCAAGATGGGGACAACGAGCTGTGTGCTCAATGGCCGTGCTCTATGGATGGAAGCTTTGGTCCACGGACATATCGATGGCCTTCCTGCGCGGGAAGACGTTCAAGCAGATCGCGAGTGAGACGGGGACCAAGCTGAGATCCATTCAATGCGACTTGCCGGCTGGAGCGAATGTATTACTTCGTCAGATTGATGGTTTTCATGAGTTTAGTGAAATATCAGAGGTATTGGATATGAATAAGCCAGGTTTCGGCACGAAAGATGCGCCATGGTCGTGGAGTATGGCATTGACGGAGACAATGATTGAAGCGCAATGGACACCGCTGCGAGCAGATAAGAAACTGCACGTCAAGCATAGACAGGCTGCAGAGCGAGACAGTTGCTGTCCCATCACTGGCAGGTAGTATACGGTTGAGGATAAAATACCACTGGGAATTTTGGCGACACACGTGGACGACTTCAAAGGAGCTTGTGAAGAAAATACCAGGTTGGAGTTATTTCAGAGATTGGAGGTCAAGTATGGAAAATGTGAACTGATCGAGACTCCCTTCGAATGCGTAGGCATCAAACATACTCAGGATCCGAAAACTATGGAATGCACTATGGACCAAAGTCACTACGTCAGTCAGTTGAAGGCCATCCCTATGGAAAAGTTCAAGGACATGAAGGATGACGACAAAGCAAATGACGAGTTGGTGAGCTTATATATGTCATTGTTAGGCGGCGTAGCTTGGATGGTTCTCGCGAGAGCAGATATCATAGTGTTTGTGGGCAAGCTACAACGCTGTATGAAGAATGTGACAGTATCCAACGTGAAAGACCTGAACAAGCTGCTGAAATGGATTCAACGTACTACGGCTACGATTCACTTTGGAAAGATGACAGCGCCGTTATGTCTCACGGTAATTGCGGACAGTGCGTATCGGGCTGACGATGTTGATTGTCTAGCCCTGCGAGCAGCTATCATCGGGTTATGTGAATTAAGAGATGGAGTACCCTCCGGAGGATTGCATGTTTGGGAGTATTTCTCGCGCAAGCAGGTGAAAGTCAACCGGGGCACGTTCAGCGCTGAGCTCAACAATGCGATCGAGTCTACAGAGTATGGTATGTTGCTGAATGGGTTCCTGATAGAATGGTTGGAGGGCGCTCAAACGTCGGTTGAGGTGCATTCAAGAATGGTTGGTCCTTGCAATGTAGAATTGCATCTAGTTCTGGACGCACACTCAGTGTACGATGCGGTGACGGCGCAAGAAATATCGACCCCTATAGAGAGGCAGTTATTGTATGGCATTCAGGCCTTGAGAGAGCATCTGGAAGCACGACGATTATCAGTACTACATCGCGTGGACGCACGAGACATGTTATGTGATGCTCTGACAAAAGGAGGTATCAGCATATCTACGTTATTAGAGGCATTCAACAAGGGTCGATGGAACATTACTGTGAGAGAACAATTACACACGTGGCGATATCGTGGTGTTTCTTTGTGATGAATGTATTCTTGCTGGCAGAATGATTGAGAATCAAGAACATGGTTCAAGAAGATTGGGACAGTTGAGAGAGTGACATCATCTGTTCCAGAGTTGATATTCAGATGTCCGGACACAGTTGTCTAGTTGCAACGACAACTGGGAGATGTCACCAGAGTCGAATTGCATGAGATAGCATCAGATGCAGCATGCAGTGAGTGAGTGAGCAGCGCCTGCCGCCGCCGTTTGGTTCGCAGGACGCGTCCAGGATGTATTACACCTTGTGCATGTGCATGTGGAAAGCCTTGTTTCTTCTTGTCTTGCCATCGACATCAGGCCGGCGCCTATCCCGCCAAGGTCAATCGACCCTTATGTGCAGGATCACCAAGAATGGGACGTCAAGGTGGTCAAACGCTTCGCCAGGTAAGCCGGGTGAAGCTGTGCAGAGTCCAGCCGCTCGCTCGTGTCCAGAGTTCTGGCTTGACGCCGGGTGTGGTGCATCAGTGTCGGTTTGACCGAGCATGGTGGTTGCGCCCCTTGGCGTCCGTTTGGGGGGGGGTTCTGCAGACCTGACCCCCCAGCCCTACTCACATGGGGACCCACGCCGTACCGCCCGCCAGAATTCATGGAGCCGTGCACGCCCGGTGCGTCCGATCGGGTGCGCTCCCGAGGGTGCCTTGGTGCGCCTGGAGGCCTATGGGGCCGTCCTGGGGCCCTCTTACAGTGGGGGCGCGCATCAAGAGACCATCTGCTTTTCGTCAGGGTACCCATTTTTTCTTCGCTCCTCGCGCTTCGCGATGGCTTTCCGCAGCCGTTGAAGGATCTGCTGCGTTCAGGGTGCTCCAGGTTTCCCTTCAAGTGCACCTCGCGCACGGGTTTTCAGGGTTGGGTTTCTTGCGAGGGTTTCTTGCGGCCGCGCCCGCACTCTAGGGCCGTCGTAGGAGCAGGCCTCCTGAGGGGGTCTTTGGCCTCTGGGGGGCTTCTTGGACGCCTTTTTGGCCTGGCCCGTCGGACGCCGTCGGAAGCCGTCTTGCCTTCTGGGAGCACTCCGGGGGCGCTTCAGGGCCGTTTCGGAGGCTATCTTGGCCGTCCTGGGGTCCTACGGAGCCGTCTTGGGGCTCTCTTTGGGCCGTCTCAGGAGCCTTTTGGGCCGTCATAGGGACATCCTGGAGGCCTCTGGGGCGATCTTGGGAGCCTTTGGGGCCGTCGGAAGGCCGAAAAGAACGGAGCTCCCAAATCCTTCAAAAGCATGTGGAAAGTCAATGCTTTGGGCCTCTTCGGGGCCTTCTTTGGAGAGCATCCTGGGTCATCCTGGGTGCATCTTGAGCCGTCTGGGAAATGCCTGGCGGCCATCTTGGGCTCTCTGGCCCCCCGGTATCGGAATTTGGTTGATTTTTACGTCTCCCAGCCCCGCCCAGAAAACCGAGCACAGTAGTCCCCCCCCCCTTCCCCCCCTTCCCCGGCAGAGCCCCCCAGCCCCACCACCAGCAGAGCTGAAGCTCCTCTGAAACTCACACGCCGGATCGGCGGAGATCATCTCAGAAGCTCTAGGCCACAGAGCGTCATCCTCCGACGGCTGGGTGTTGGCCTGAACCAAGGTATGTTCCAGCGTAGAGTCCTTCAGATCAGAAGGAATGTGAAACTGATAACCGTGCTTGAAGGCAAGGTTGAAGTAGTGAGGCCAATGATGGTCTGACCGGTAAACGTCGGGAAGCTTCTCAGCACGATGCCTATACCAAACAACTTGGGTGGTGACCTCCACGGGGACCGTAACTCAAAGATACGCCTGCGTCTTGAATGGTGAGTCAGGCGGAGGAGGAGGAGGAAGAGGAGGAGGCGGAGGAAAAGGAAGTGGAGGGGGAGGAGGAGGAGGAGGAGGAGGAGGAGGAGGAGGAGGAGGGGAGGAGGTGGAGGAGGAGGAGGGGGAGGAGGAGGAGGAGGAGGAGGAGGAGGGGAGGAGGAGGAGGAGGATGGGGAGCAGAAGGAGGAGAGCATGAGGAGGAGGAGGGGGAGGAGGCGGACGGGGAGGAGTGGAGTAGTGGGAGGAGGGGGAGGGAGAGGAGGAGGAAGATGAGGGGGGGGAGGAGGAGAAGGAGGAGGAGGAGGAGGAGGAGGAGGAGGAGAAGGATGGGGAGAAGGGGGGGGAGGAGGGGGGAGGGAGAGAAGGAGGAGGATGAGGAGGATGAGGAGTATGAGAAGGAGGAGGAGGAGGAGGAGAAGGAGGAGGAGGAGGAGGAGGAGGAGGAGGAGAAGCTTGTCCGCAACGGAGCGACCGCGGCAGCGGGAGCGGAGGCGGCAACCACGCGCAACGGAGCCGACACGGAGGACACCACCCCCGCCCGCCATCCCGTCGGAGGTTAGCGTCGTTTGCTCCGCGGCACTGCGTTGCAGCATTCGCTCGGCGTCACGCCAACATACTAATACTATGTGTGCGTCGCCCCCCCAGGGGCGACGCGCGCACCGAGAAATCTGATAGTATATGCGTAGTGGCGGGCGCTTGCTGGCCACGCCGCTCGGGAAACGACATACTACAAGATGGGTATATTATATGGTCGGGTCGGACGCGCGCCTCTTAGGAGGACATATAGTATTAGTATGTCCCTGTGCGTCCCATTCGCGCTGTCTCTCAAGGCGACACGGATGACCCCCCGGCCCGCCATTTTGTCGGGGGTAGCGTCGCTTGCCCCACTGCATTGTTGTTTCAGCATGCGCGCTGTCTCTCCCTCTCGTCTCTCGGAGGAGCAAAAGGTCCTCTTATTGCTACCCTTCACTCGTTTTCGCCTTTTGTGGGCCTCCTGTGAGGCCCTCGTCGCCACCGCTGGATCCGCTTCGAGATTCCGGTCAGACCGCACCACGGGACAGATCCGGGTAGTAGCGGCATCGGTACCTTCAGGTTTCTCTCTCTGTCTTCCTCTCCCATCCATCCTCCTCCTCACTCAATTCGGCTGCTGAGCCGCCGTTTGGCTCCAGCACCGGCGCGTATTTGTTTATTGGACGGAGAGTAAGAGAGCCCTGCGATCTACATCTGATCGCCGCAGGGCTTTCTCCCTTTCAGCTTCCACCCCCCGCAATTCTAGTTGGCAGTGGAGCTGGGAGCGATCCCAGTTCGCGATCCACGGACCGTGCGAAGAGTGCGGTGTGGACTTCCATTCGCTCTCACCTTGACTTGCGCATTGTTACCACCCCCCAGCCCTTGAAACGCTTCTGCTTGTGGCTGTTCTGCTGCGTGCGGGTAATTCGCCCCAATCGTACACGAATCCGGCTGCGAAGGCACTAACAGCTGACGGCGCCAACGCGATGTGGATTTTTCGCCCACGTGAGCGCCACGACGTTTCCCACGACCCTTCGCCACCCACAGGCACTGGCCGCAGCTTCGCGTCAGGCATGACTGCGAGGCTCCTCCCTGGGCTAGTGCCGTTCCTCGTGTTGTGTGCGACAGTGCTGGCCGTTCTTGCGAGCTCGTCGCGCCACTCGAGTAGACTACTGAATGTTAACGCACCAGTATCACAACCCTTTGCCTGGACCAAGGGTGTCAACGTCACTAAGGTTGCTCCATTTTCGACATGGCGTTCGTCCGTGCGCAGGCCCGAGTCCCAAGGCGCCTTCGCAGCTCTCATCGTAGTGGGGTCGTACCGAGAAGAATATCCACCAGTACGTTCTGGGGCAGCATCCTCATGTTTGTCGTGGCCGCCTTTTTCTGGCTCAGCTGCATGATGCCTGGTTGAGCCGGCCCACAGGGCCGCGGCGGCGGCCGCGGTTCGAACATCTCCCACCAACCGCCATCATGGCCACCCGAGCGCGAGTCAGTGTACCTTTTTCGCCAGAGGGTACAAGATCTTCTCGTATGGAGCGTGCTAGCCATCGACATGGCCACCGACATGGATAGCGCCCAAAAGCGCTCCGCCGTAATCCTCACCTCGGTGGGGCCGCTCGCGAGCTCACGCGCTCCATGAGCTTTGCGAAGATGACGGAGGGAGGCGTAGCCAACGGCCAGCACGAGAACGCCGTGACCCACCTCATCGCGAACCTTGCCTTTCCGTTCGGTCCATTGGGCGAGGAGTCGCGCCTCCAATCTACTGGAGAGGTCTTCGAGTTCTCGTGGCGCTGTAACGAAACCACCGACGTGCTGCTTTCGCGGCTTCTCACGCTGCGATTTCGAGCGGGGCTGGGGCAGCGCCGCGAGTTGGCTGGCTGCGACGCCGACCACTCGGAGGAGCAGCCAGCTGTCAAGGAAGTAAGTGCAATCGCTCCCGGGCGCAACTACATCAGCAACTACTGATATGTCGGAGGTGCAACAGACCCGTTGCGCTACATATCTGGCAGCCATATTGGATCCAGTCATCGGAGTGGTCACGAGCTCAGCACTAGGCATGACTTGTCACCATATGGCTCTGCTGGCCAGGGCTTGCACGCGGAACCACGCGTTGATTCGCCTGCCCAGACGGCGTTGTACATCGTCGCGACGACTGAACATGGAACAAGTCTGTCGCGCACATCCCTCCCAGACTTGGCACGCCAGGCCGATTGTAATAGGACCTCTCCGCGCCTCGCGCCCGAGGGCGAGGCTGCCGGGTCGCTGGCCGACGGGATTCGAACAGAAGTGATGTTACAACTCCACGAAAGGCAGCTTGGTCTGGCCAGAGCATGTGTAGTCGTCTCTGGCGCGTTCAAAAGTTGCAGTGCCCGCGATGAGGTGCTGGCAGCTTCGTCGAGCACCCGTCGCGCTCAAACTGGGTCTGATCGTCAGCCCGACAATCCTTATTCAAATAGGGCACTCAAGATCAGTAGACATCATGCCCGCAAGACTCGCGCGACGAAGAAGTCTACTGGCGCGCGAAGTTGAATGTGCATTCGTCCAAGGTTATATGACATGCCTGCTGGCGCGCAACAACACCGACATCGACGGCGCTACAAAGAATGCGTCTGGATCTCCGACTGAAGCAGCAACACCGTGACGCGCGTCCGTGCGTTGCGCCATAATTTCCTTTGTGCACCTGCCACAGCGCTTCAAGTGTTACAGCGCGCTGGGTGTAGTCTTGGCGCCGTCCTGGGCCGCAGCGCCGGTCCGCCTAGCGTTTTCAACTGCCGTATCGACCGCCTGACGTGGCAGGCGCGCCGCGAGGAAGATGCGTCGCGCGCCTCTTTCTGCGGTCACGCTGCGATGACACAGACACGCGAGTGGTGCTATTTCTTGGTCGAACAACCGAGCCCTGCGCGGCTCAGTGCACTGCCGCCGTGGGAACAGGTATCTACGCGCCCTCATGTAGAATCTGCGGGGTTCGACAAATTTCTGCTTAGGGGGCCAAGTGCCCGCGTGGCCTTCCAGCGGAGAAGCCGTCTGTGGCTATCGCCAACTTGCCCCATCTGCTGGCGCGCTTCAGGAATCTGGGGCGCAGCGGCAACCGCGATCATGACGTCGGCCGGGGTCGCGGCCGACGCGCCATGACGCTGCGGGTCTTGGCCATGGCGCTTAGCCGAGCGCATGGTGCAAGGCGTCGTCGCATTCATGGCCGCGGCGGAAAGCGCCATCGCCCTGGCGATCGAGCTCTATCTGGCCACGGTGGCCAGATTCGCCCAGAGGCATGGAAGAAGCCGAATTCCCCCGGCACCTGCGGCCATGCCAACGCCGGCAGGGGAGTCGCGAGCCCGACCGCAGGCGCCTGGAGCCCCAGCGCGCGCATTGGGCTCGCAGACATCCGCCGTCGCGCCAGCTGCCGAGCAGGAAGCCAACGCACCGCGTGCGAAGCGATATCCAGGAAGTCCAGGCTGTCGCGAAAATCGTAGCAGCCTGGGCCCACGTCATATTCAGATCTGAGGGGAGTGCGAAATTCCGCCAGGCGTTGAGTCGCGTCTCTCATGCCCAGGAGGCACGCGCGGCCCGCCACGAGATAGAGCGCGCCCCGCCCGCGCCAGGCGGCCAGGAGAGCTCCGCTGGTTCGACGACCCGTGCAGAGCTGTCCAAGAGCGTCGCGCCAGCCAACGCGGATCCTTTCCCAGGGAGGCACGTGTGCGGCAGTCTCAAGATCCCGTCGCAGGACCCCCTGGATGACAGGTGAGTCCTGATAGCGATGGGCCGCCTCCTGGCCAGGGCCCTATCGTCGACCCTGCACCGCCAGCACCAGCGCGCGTTCGACGGCGAACCCCGTCACCGCCTGACCCCTTCAGCGCCCCGGGCTGCCAGAGCTCCTCGACCGCTGCGACGGGCCGTGAACGCTGCGACGGGCCGTGCCACTCTGATTTTGCGCATTCTACGAAACGGTGATGCATCGCAAATTTGACGCGAGATCCGGGAACCACATGCACGCTGGTTGCATTCAACGCTGACTCATGTGGGAAGATATCCATCGCAGCCCAGTGCGCGAGCAACGCCATCCATGTGATCTCTGGCGTGGTAGACGCACGCCGCGGGTGTCGCAGCGCGTCGCACGTCACTTCCTCGGTCGAGCCAGTCACGGCTCTCTATTAGGAAGTAGAAGGAGACATCCTGTGCTCTGGCCCATATTCGATCTCGCTCATGGTCGACAGGACCGATCGACGGCCTGCAGCAAGGCTGCTCGAGGAAGACCCTACGTGCCCACGCTCTTGTTGGATCTCGATCTTCGGGCCAAGTGCGACCCTGATACTTGATGGCGAACGTTGCGTACTTGGTGCCGAAGCAAATCCATTCTTTGACCGACGCAGCATAGGGGCACGTGCCCGAGCCCCTGCTCAGCACGCCCGAATGATCGAACGACGCGGCGCTATCTACGACGCGCCAGTCACTGCGTTGAAGATCAGCTCCGACGCGAAAGACTGGGAGCCAGCATGTCCGACCTTTTGCCCGAGGCCGTGTTCGCAGGCAGGTCGTTGATCTACTGCGGAAAAGCCACGCCGTGCAACGCCTGGTTTGGACGGCAGCCGTAAACGTTGCCGGACATGTTGGCGCTCCCGGGCGACGCAGCCGGAGTTGCTTGCTATTGACCTCGGCTACGAGTGATCGCGCTGCAACAGATCGCGGGGGCCCCGGCCATCTCGCACATCAATCGCGCCTCGAAGACGAACGCCGCAGTCGCAGGACAGACCCTTGACTTTCGCCGAGCCCCATCCACCAAGGATGCGAGCGGGTGGAATGGTCCAGCCGCAATCGTCAAGATTAGTGTCCTTGAAGGCACTTTGACCATCGACAACCGAGGTACCGAACGGATATGTCGCCTCGGAGATGCACGACGGATCATCTATTTCGGTGGGCTGGTGTACTGAGGTACAAGGCAACCTACTACGCCCCGCGAGATGGCATGGATGATGGTAGAGCAGTATATCACGAGCCTCTCGGCAAGGGCCCTTCA